TAACTCACGAACTCATGGCGGAAATAGACAAAGTTCAGTCAAGACGCAACAAGAGCTACAATCACACTGTGCTGGAGGGACGGGGAGAGCACAGAGGGGATCCAACTCTAGCAAGGTGGATCATGAAAAACTAAAAGTGCTGCTTAACCCGAGTTTTGAAGCATTAACAGGAGTCCCTGGGTAGGCAGGGTGGCACGCGCCAGCATGCACGGAGTCCCCTTTGTGAGTCCACACACAGTCTAGTGTAGGAGCACAGAAAATACAAAAGGATAGCAGATGGTAAACCAGCGGTGGGCAGAGGTCACACGTTCACCCTTTCTTGTGGATGGTCCAAAAATGTCTAGTTAAATGTTTGCCACATATGTTCTCAGGAGAGGAGTGTTTATTATGAAATCTCATGTTATCTGTAGGCTTAATCTCCACATATGATAGAGCAGAATCAGAAGTGTGCTTCAGCTATCGTCACAGAAGAGCATTGAAGAAATTATCATACCAGGGAAATCAGATATGGTTTCTTTTTTAAAAAAAATATTTTATAGTTTTATTAAAAACTAATTGACATACATCACTAAATAAGTTTAAGGTAAATAGCATGATGATGTGATTTACATATATTGTGAAATGGTTACCACAATAGTTTCAACATCCGTCGGTAAGACTTTTAAATACAGAGGACAAACTGAGGGTTGCTGGAGGGGAGATTCATCAGGGGATGGGCTAGATCAGTGATGGGTATTAAGGAGGGCACTTATTGGGGTGAGCACTGGATGTTATGTATAAATGATGAATCACTACGTTCTACTACTGAGAAAGGAAAAAGGAGTTTTTCAGACATGGTTTCTTTTTATGTGAGAGCTGGAAGGAAACTCAGATACTATCCAATATAGTATTTCTTGGCATCCTCAAGTACTCTGTGAAGGATTCTGGTTTCATTTGAGTTATAAAAAATAATATGTGTATTAGGATGACCAACTTCTAGCAAATTCTGCTATGCAATTTGGTGTTCAAGTGTTTTGTGTTTGTGGTCCTGAATATTTTGATACCAAATGATCAGCCAAAGTGATAGTTTTTGGCTTCTTATTCTTTGGGATCTCCAAGTTCTCAAGTTTGAGAACAACTTTATCTGATAATGATCGGCCAACGTGATAGTTTTTGGCTTCTTATTCTTTGGGATCTCCAAGTTCTCAAGTTTGAGAACAGCTTTATCTGATGCAATCTCTCAATGTGAGGTGAGGATCTGGAGACCCAGAAGGGGAAAATGGCTTTGAAATGCATCCAGTTAATCAGTAATGGGGACTAGAAGCCCAGATGAGTGGTTCAGCATTTGTTTTAACACAGGTCGGCCACCACCCCTCTGAACAGGCAACCACAAGTCCCATGACCTTTAGGGTCTCTAATTACACATCCAACTTCATAATTCACAGCAATGCAATTTACCTTTATGGCCAGAGAATCATCTTCTAGTTTATCTCAGATGAGGTCTGTGCCCCACCTCTCTGAGAAGCAAGCAGAAAAAGTCAAGATAAATTACTCAAGCTTGGGATAATTAAAATTGTTTTTTTTAAAAAAAATCCTCACTCTCTGAGTCTCTCATATGATGGAATTCATGACTTCACATATATACGTGGGAGATT